GGGGGGGGGGGGGGGGGGGGGGGGGGGGGTAAAAAGCATTGAAATTAACGAGACGATAAGGTGAAAACACATAGGCAGGCACGCAAAGGCGGGACCGCCGATAGCCGATGCAATGTTATTCAGCTGAGAAAAGCATATATTTGAAATAGATTATAAAATTGCGTGCGACCCTTAGGGGAGTGCGACAGAGATCGATGCAAGCGCAAAGCATCGATAAGTGGTTCTTTCAGTACCCGTTGAGTAGCAAGTTGCATTCAGCACACTCGTATAAAAGACAGAGAGGCGTGTACGTTTTGCCGGTCACGATCGCACAGAGGCAGGAAAAAAGAAAAGAAAAGCGGGCGAGGCATTTGTCGCAATTATAAAGTAGAGTGAAGGAGGAGAGGCAATGTGAAATAAGATGACCGGACAGCCACTCGGCGGCGATAAGATTAAGCGGCGCGGTGGACGGTGAGGGGGGGGGGGCGACGACGATATTTGTGCTCGCAATCGCCGCATTATCCTGATAAGTATGGATGAGGCCGTCGGCTTGTGCGTGCACGTTTCCCGTCGGGGAGGCATAAGTACGGCGAGGCCGGTCCCAAGGAGCTCAGTCGTGGCGCGCAATCGCAACAGCAACAGTTCGTAAGAGTCCGGTTCCCGCTGGAAGATGAGCCGCCTCGTAAGCGCCGTACGTGCCCACCTCCTCCTTCCCGTCCTCGTCGTCGTCGTGATCGTCGTCGGTGGGAGCCTCGGTGCGAGGCTGCCCAATGATCCGCTCCCAACTTGTGGCTACGATGTAAGTGTAATAACGCCCCTTGTAAGAGCGCCGAAGAGTGCGAGGAGTCGCGGAGAGAGTTGGCTTGTCGTTTACAAACCTTACCAATCGCTCGCCGCCTATTTACTTAACGCTCGGCTCCCATTAAATACCGAGTGTCCTTTTCCTTTATTATCGCGTGCTATTAGCCGGGCGCAATGATCGTAATATGATCGACATTGACCTCCAATGTCTGCGGCGATGATTCAATGCTTCCGTTGCACACTACGCACTACGCGAATCTTCGATCGAACGTCGATCCACGCATTTCATCAGCCAGCAACTCTCTTCCTCTATTGGCCGTAGGTTAAGTTTTACAATTTATTTTCATGTCGAATAAGACTATTTGCCTATACAATATGTGAGAAATATATGTATAATATATTTTTGATATTTTTGTTGTTATTTGATTAACGTTCCTACGTCAATATCGACAAAATCGTATAAATATTTAGATACACTTATCGACATTACCTTGAATAGTCTTAAATCCATGATTTTTTTTTTTTTTTTTTTTTTTTTTTTTTTTTTTTTTGTTCTACAAATAAAGTACAACAACAGTGAATACGCAATTGCAGGTCCACGTAATTAAAAATTTTAAATAATAAAAGAATATCGTTAAGATATTGTTATATCTTTGTATAAAATCGCGATATGTAGGTACGTTGTTTCTATTTTACGAATCGACACTGTTTGCTTCGATAAAATATTTTCACATTATATGTGATACTTGGCAGTAATGACTCTGATTATAAAAAAACGAAGAAGAAAAAAAATTATTAAAATTAATATTATAGCTATTACAAAGTGATTAAGAACTGATAAATTTCTTAAAATTATTAAAATACTCATAACGGTATTTAATATTTTATAAATTTTCGACAAACACAAGTTTATGCTGGACGTTATTTTGAATTGAACTTTTTTTTTTTTTTCTTTTTGTTCAGACACGTAGACTTTCAAAGGCAAATAATACCAATATGAATAAGAATGCAGAGAACGCTCAATTGAAATATTCCTCATTCGATTATTAGAATTGTATAAGACGGTGACGGTAATTTTATCAAATATAGCTTTTCTAATACTTTGAATGGATTGTATAATTTGCTATTATAATACAATTTTCAAACAAAATTTGCATGTAAAAAATGTTTATCAAATATAAACATGTATAATCTGAAAAAAATTAACAGTGATTAAAAAATTACGGTTTTGTAGAAATTATAGTTTCTAAGTGTATTTAAAAAAAAGGTTTTGAATAAAGAATTTGTAGATAAATTTGTTTTGTCAAGGTTTAGCCTGATAATATTGAAGTTTATGTTTGGACGAATTTTATTGTAGAAATTTTATACTGTTTTTTTCATTTTTAAATGTAAGCTTTATATGTCGTGAAATTATTTTGCTTTTTAAATTCTTGACATTGTAAGTGATAGATGCTCGTGTAATGTTAACTCACGATAATTACTTTAGCAACATTAATCTCCTTTACAATTTATTCGAATTTCTTGTTAATCTTTATGAATCGTCAATACAATTCAAATATAATATAAGAGAAATATTAATGCCAATAAAACCAAACTCGGATGGCTAACATAATTTCTGCTCAGATTATATTCTTTCGCTTACTTAATATTAATTTTTTTATCTATTATTGATACATATACGTATATATATATATATATATATATATATATATATATATTGTTTGTTTTTTTGTGTGTGTGTGTGTGTGTGTGCGCGCGCGCGTGTGTGCGTGTGTGCGCGCGCGCGCGCGCGCGTAATAATGATATTTATGTACGCGTTAAGCAAAGAGACATCAACGAGTTAAGTAATTCCATAGCCGCTAATGTAAGCTTTTCATGACTTTTCCTAGAATGAAATTCATAATTGCAAGACTAATCACTAATTACCGCAATATTCAAAATCATTATTTAATTTTCATTTCTTATAGAATTTATTATTTATCAAGCAGACGTGACAATCGTCGTTATAATTACTCAAATAATTTCACTTTGTGCGTGTGTGTTCGCGCGCGCGCGCGCGTTGGGAAAAATAATTTGAATCCTAATTTCAAGCCAGTTTATATTTATATATTGAGTTTTTCTAATGATATAATATCCATTACATCGTATTACATTAGAATACAATTGTATTACTTTAGACTAGAATCAATGATAATCCATTAGTAGTATAATTTTTTTATATTTAATTTAATCGGCCTTACCGCACTTGGTTATATTAAATATTCTTTTACTCCAGCATTTAGCTTCATTAATTGTTCAATGTAAATTATCTGATGTATGAAGATACGCAATCGGCAACTAATACGCAAACATATAAATCTTACTATTTTGTAATCGACAGTCCTGCCCGAAGAGCGATTTGAAGAAATTAAATATCCACTTGGTACCTCATACTCACGACGACGTTGGTTGGCTCAAGACCGTCGATCAGTATTATTTTGGAGGTAGGTTTTTAGGTTTTTCACATATAAATTCGGGAATTTATTACTCGGCTCGAGGAAACGATAAATTTTTCACCGTAACATTGTACGTTAAACTTAAAGCATTTGAATTTTTAATGACTTCAATGGATTTTTAATGACTTTTACGGTTGCAAAGTTTAGGCAAAGGATGAAAAAAAAAAAAAAAAAAATCTTATATTCCCAAGGAAATAAAGTATTATTTAATACTAATTACTTAACATTGCAAAAATTATATATAAAGTAAATTAATGAGTACAATACCGGTTAGATACGACTGAATATTTATAAACAAGTTTTGAATTCGCTTAATGTTAATGAAGCTAATCAAAGATACAAGCTTTTGCATTTACGATCGGCATAATATTCATATTTGATCGAGTGCTGATAAGAAGATTATTGATAACCGCCCGTGATGATTTATCAATGATTATTTTATAACGAGAGAGTGGATATTGAAATTTAATTACAAAAATCAAGATTCGAGTTCAAATTTACAGAATGACTAGATTATTTAGAATATCATGCAAATGCAGAAGTATTCGATCCTCGCAAGAGGTCGATGATCTGATACCAATATTTCTGGTTTTTCGAAGGTCGCATGAACATTCAAGTAGCTGGTGTACAATACATAATTGATAGTGTCGTCGATGCTCTTCAACACGATCCAACGAGAAAGTGAGCAAACAAAAATAAATATTTTTTTCATTTTTAATTAGAAATGGTAATTTTTGCTTTTTTGCATTTCTAACTGGTTAGCTATATATATTTGTATATAAGTATTAGTAGAAATTTCAGGCTTAGGCCTCTACTTTGAAACATTTACAAGATAACGATAATTTTATGCCTACATTGGAGATTGTTAATATATATATATATATATATATATATATATATATATATATATATGTATATATATTTTTTTGTTACTTTTATTTTGCTTTTTAACGATTGCTATTATTACGATTTTAATTTCTTCGGATAATCTCGGAGTTTCTAGTCACATTAACTTGACACTTGAGTCAGTACAGAATTACATTTAAATTCAAATTTACTGATTTTGAATTATCATTTTTCTAACTTTCTTTTACGTGCAAGAATTACTTTTTAATAATAAATTTAAACTTTTACATCTACTGATATACTTAATTTTGTTGGATATATTTCAGTACTTATTGTATCAAAGTATCGGCATTTAATTGTATATCATATTTGTCTGTTGTCATTATATTCATTTATAATGACTAAAAAGTAAACTTCATCTTAAAGTAAGTTTAATATTATTTTTAATATGTGTTTGTGCGTGTGTGTGTTTGTGTTTCTATGTATGTGTGTGTGTGTGTGTATGTGTGTATATATATATATATATATATATACAGATAGATACATGTGTATTATAGATTTATTTACGTGGAGACAGCGTACTTATGGAAATGGTGGGTACACCAGAGTGAGGAAAGGAAGGAAATCATGAAAAAATTAGTCAACGAAGGCAGACTCGAAATCATTGGTGGAGCATGGAGTATGAACGATGAAGCTGTTACCCATTATCATTCAATAATTGATCAGTTCACGTGGGGATTCAGGTTTGCAGCCTCTTATTTATGAAAACTTATATAAAGATCGTAATTCTGATATCGTTTGTGAATTCATTAATGTTACTCGTGAAAAGAAGAAATATATAATTGAATCGATCTTTTCCAAGTGAGCATTAGAGATAAATTATAAAAAAAAAAAAAATAACTTTTTTACATTGGCACGTCAAGTAGAACGTAATGAATGAATTTCTAATAAGACTAATGTGATTATTTAATTTTTTTTTTTTTTTTAATTCTACATATCAAATATATTCTAAAGATGTCTCTTAAGTAAATAATTTCTTATCGACAGTCTCAAATGACGTACATTAAAGCCAAATGCCAATAAAAACATTCTTGTGAAACATTTTCAGACGACTGAACGATACATTTGGTTCGTGTGCGCGTCCGAAAATCGGTTGGCAAATCGATCCATTCGGTCATTCTCGCGAACAAGCCTCGATATTTGCACAATTGGGATTCGACGGAATGTTTTTTGCTCGCCTCGATTATCAGGATAAGTCGAAGCGCCTCCAAACCAAGACCGGCGAATTTATTTGGAAGGGAAGCCCCAGCTTAGGTATTTAATTATGTAAATTATGTAAATGAATATGGGAAGAGAGCAATGTGCGTCATGTGGGAGGAATAACAGGTAGCAACCAAAAAAAAAAAAAATAAATAAATAAATAAATAAATAAATAAAAAACAAAAAAAAATCATTAGACGATAAATATATTCTTAAGAAGCGACGTTTGCGGTATTACAGATAAGACGATGAGAAGAGTGTGAGAGAAAGAGAACTTTTTATCAAGTCGATTTTTCAGTCTACGGTCTATCATGTTAAGCGTATGAGGTAAAGATCCGTTATTGATGATTTCTTCCTTAATAGCTGCAGCAATAAACTTTTGATTACGATAAATTTTATTACCAGTTGAATCTTATTGAATTTTAGTTTCCTCTAATTTGTCTTTTCATCCTGTCTTGAGCGACATTGATTTGCTTCTTTTAATGTTCACCAACTGAGTAAGAGTGCATCATTTAGTGCTTCCCATCTCTCTCTCTCTCTCTCTCTCTCTCTCTCTCTCTCTCTCTCTTCCTTCCTTCCTTTCCTTATTCCGTATATCACTCTATTTCTACATTTATTTCACTCTTCCTATCTCACTGCCTCTTTTCCATTCTAAATCGCAGTCTCTTTGTTTTTGTACTATTTAAATGATCAATATTTGAATGCAAAAAAATGAAAATGTATAAGATAATGAAAAATAGAGTTGCAAGGAAGATAAATTTTTTTATTTTTTTTTTTGTTTGTTTTGTTTTGTATTTAGGATTAAGAATTTTTAAATAAAATTAATAAATAAAATTTACTACTGAAATAGTGTAAATGATTGAAATTTAAAAAATACATGCAATTTACAGTGTGTATTGAGAAATTGGAAGAAAAGTATGTAATATTATGATTTTTCTATATTCTACTTTATTGATGATTAATTTTTCAATCTAAAAAATCAGGCTTCATTGTCTTTATATTATTCTAAATTGTTTTAATATAAAATCATGGTATAATTATTATTCACTACATCTTAACGAATGCTTAACAATTGATTTCTTCATCAATTAATAATAATAAATACACATATACAATGAAATATTAAATGTATGTCGGTATGTCGTCGTAATTTTATGAAATTATATTGTAAAGGACTTTTGTCTCATGAATTCCGCAGCACAAAAGCATCTTAGAATTATCGAATTAGAAAAAGTCCGAATTACATGATAATACATGATAGCTTAAATATTTTCATATTTAATGTGAAATCATCCATATATTTTTATTCTTTTACTCGTTATACCTTTTTCATTTTTAATTCTATTTAAATTAATCCTAACATTCAATATCATAAAATGCATAAGATTATGAAGTACATAATGAATATTGTAATTACAGGCAACGCCGCAAATTTATTTACGTCGGTTTTATACAATTTTTATTCGGCTCCAGCTGGCTTCTGTTTTGACATTCTCTGTCAAGATACAGAACCGATTGTCGACGACCTGGATAGTCCTGAATATAACATAGCCTCAAAGGTATATATGAACGAATATTGACCGTTGATTATTATAGTTCTTATTATTAATATTAAGTGTATGATGATGACACTTGAATCTCGAGTATATTATAATTTTCGTCAGCAAGATAATTATATTTATATTTATATAAATTTATATATATATATATATATATATATATATATATATATATATATATATGTGTATACATAAATTTTTTTAATTATCTTGCAGGTCGATTCATTTTTGGAAATTGTGTCCAATCAAGCTCATTTCTATCGTACGAACAATGTGATTTTAACAATGGGAGGAGATTTCACTTATCTATATGCCGATATGTATTTCAAAAGTATGGATAAAATTATAAGGTACATGTGACAAAGATGAGATACGACGATATTAGTAGTTGGCCACTTAAGTAAATACTAAAATCAATTTTCTTTCTAAAACTGATGAGAAAATTATTAATTATGTATTATTGCAGTTCAACAAACCATTTAGCTAATTTAGTTGAATGAGTTATTAAGCTAATTCGCCGGATCTGTTATTCATATGATAAAATTGAATATTTGAATTAATAATTTAAAAAAAAAAAAAAAAACATAAATAAATATAGAAAAAAATAAAAAAATTCTACTATTCGAAAATTAAGAAACATAATATTTTATAAAAATTTTCTAAACAAAACCTAGAAATAGCATGAGCAATCGCAAGAAATTTCCGATAAAAACATTTTTTCAATTAGTATCGTATGAATAAATAGTAAATGCATTATTTAATGTTAATGTAAATAAATTTATTAAAAATTTCATATAACGTATCTTTAGACTATATTTATATTCCGATGGAAATTATTGACTCGCATTGAGCTTAAAAATTGAATGTTTAAAAGCACTTTCGAATATCCTTAGTCACTTTATTAAATAGAATTTCAATATCGACATTTAAAAATATAATAAAAATATCTGTTGTATTTTTTTTTTTTTTTTTTTTTTTTTTTTTTTTTTTTTAACGAATGATATGCATTCTTGTTTATTTTAATCTGAAGGAAATGGAAGTGAAAGTGACTGACTATTATTGCCTCTGCTATATCTTTTAAATGAAAAGTTGAAATATATGAATTATTAAAAGTCTTCGCCTAGTCAGTGATAAAATTAAGAGATTCAAGAGTCTGTATAAGAATCCAGTTAAAAAGCAAAAGTAACGCGTACTAAAGTTATTGTAATAAACAGGTAGACAAATTTTTGAAATATGCCAAGTTGCAAGCAACGTCGTACAAAACAAATAATATTATTCTCACGATGGGCGAGGATTTTAATTATCTATACGCAGGAATGTGGTACACTAACATGGACAAACTCATTAGGTGAGATTTGCACGTTGAAAAAACATTGAAAAATGCATGCTAATATTAGTTGCCATTATCAACAATATATAAGCACAATTATGGGCATCGTAAAGTATAACAATACGATGTAGAAATTTATTTAAGAACCGGGTAGCTCCGTATGATGGATGCCTTACGCTTCTTACGAATCTACTTAAGCTCAACATTATTTTATCCCAAATAGATACATAAATGAGATAAATGGAACAAATTTTAATGCTTTCTATTCCACTCCATCGTGCTATACGAAAGCTGTGAATGAGGCGAATCTTACGTGGTCGAGTAAGACCGATGATTTCTTCCCATACGCCAGCGATCCTCATTCGTTTTGGACTGGATACTTCACGTCCAGGCCTACGCTTAAGTTTTTCGAACGAATGGGAAATAGTTTCTTGCAGGTAATCCAATCACTCTATCGATATCCAGCAAATCGAATAAAATTATTCTACGATTATTCTGAACTTTCTTATCCTCGCTCTATTTTCATTTTCAATTTCAATTTCAATTTTCATCCATACATAATAATAATAATAATATTATTATAATATTATATAATATAATAATATTATTAATAATAATATTATTATTATTATTATTATTATTATTGTTATTATTTATTAGTTTTGTATTAAATTAATTGCTGCTTTAAAGCTCTTTGAGACTGATATCCAGAGAAGTATCGTATTGTAAAACTTTCGTCCACTTAAAGCCAAGCGATTCTATTTTGCTTTGTTTTTTTTTTTTTTTTTTTTTTTTTTTTAAAAAAAAAAACAAAAAGAAAATCTATTTCCAGATAGTAAAGCAACTGTTAGTATTAACAAATCAGCCTGATCTCGATGAATTAGAATTATTCAGAGAAGCGATGGGAATAATGCAACATCATGATGCTATAACTGGTACGGAGAAACAACATGTAGCAGCGGACTACGCGAGAATTCTTCATTATAATATGAAAAATGGAGAGAAATTGGCCTCTAAAGCACTAAGGTAAGATAAGACGAAAATAGAGATAATTTAATTGCATTAAATGAATCGAGCTTCTATAATATCTTCTTATTTAATGATGAATTTTTATGTGTATTTTCATTTCTTTGTCATTTCTTTCTTTCTTTTTTTTTTCTTTTTTTTTTCTTTTATTTTTTTTTTCTTTTTTACTTTTAATAGAAAATTATCATTGAAGAAGGATATAGTTGAGCCAGCGACATTCCATTCGTGTTTATTATTGAATATAAGCTCCTGTGAACACACTACTCATAATACAACATTTGTCGTCACTCTTTATAATCCGACAAGTCAGCCTCTCACAACCTATGTTCGTTTGCCAGTTCAAGATCACTTTTACCAAGTACTCGACCATAGCGGTACGTTTATTATTATTATTATGTATGGAACAATCGAGTCACATTGGATGTGTAATTTTATTGAGTTTCTAATATTATTAGAACATTATTAGTCTTTACGTACTAGTGCAATGTTGAATAAGCTACGTTCCGTTGTATATTATCAATAACATTAAAAGCTGATAAAGCTATTAATAACGATGAAGTTAAATTGAACAGGTAAGGAAATTGTCACACAAATCGTGCCAATACCAACTGCAGTGCTGAATATCCCCGGTCGTTCGAGCGAGGCAAAAGCGGAACTTCTATTCCAAGCAGTTGCCACCCCCGCTCTTGGTTATCAATCGTTTTACGTCAGTCAGAAGCCAAACGAATTAAAGAAAGTCGAGAATGGCACAACGACGCCAGACGAACAAACTATAGATGGAGAAGTACGTAGACTTACAAATCAGCCGAGACTTTAGCATTACTTATTATTAGGAATAATAACGTCAATTATAAATGTTGGGCTTTTTTTTTTTTTTTTTTTTTTTGAATTATTGGATTATTGGATGTAATTGTGCTGCGTGAGAGCAAACATAAAACGTAGAAAATTCTACAATTGACTTATGCAATTCCTTATGAAATTCTAATTCAACTAATCGTTAAAAATATGCGACAACAGTTATTTCTTCAATTCATTAACATGAAAATGTCTTTTATCGTAACCGCACTCTCGTTAATTTCAGTTTTATAAGGTAAGTATTGACTCGGAGGGCAAAGTCGTTGTCAAGTCGTTGAAAAAAGATAACGAAAAGGTCTTTAAGCAATCCTTCCATTATTACGAAGGCATGCAAGGCAATAACAGAGTGTATATTAATCGATCATCAGGAGCTTACATTTTCAGACCAAAATATAATTATACAAAAAATGTTTCTGAAACCAGCACGTATAAAATATACAAAGGTAATTTGAAATTATTCAATATAAACTCGTATAATCCGTTGTAAATTAGGGATTTCGTTAGAAACTTTAGTCTATTATATCATTGTATTTATGAGAAATTTCAAGCTAAGATCACCGTTGTATGTAACTCTATGCGAAATTTAAATAAACGTTCGATCGATTATATTAATAATACGTAATGAAGGTTAGTTCGTGTAATTATTCACGCACGTTGTGTATGTATGATCGTATCGTGTTAACGACAGAATAAACACATTTTTCTTATTTTAAACATTTTTATTCTATATTTTTAGGGGCTATAGTCGAAGAAATTCATCAAGTACTTTCTAGTTGGATTAGCCAAGTAATCAGGATTTATAAGGGAAAGGATTACGTTGAATTCGATTGGCTAGTTGGGCCAATACCCATAGAGTACATAAATGAGCTTATAAATTTTTTCGCATTTTCTAATAATCGGTACTTTTATTACATCCTTCGTTCTTTAATTTTAGAGATAATATTGGCAAAGAAATCATAACCAAGTATTCGAGCAATTTAAACAATAATGCCGAATTCTTGACCGACAGTAACGGCCGAGAGATGTTGAAGCGTAAACTCAACTATCGACCAACATGGAACATAACTCTCCAAGAAAAAGTATCTGGAAATTATTATCCAATCACAACAAAAATATCTATCCAAGACGCAAATACGAACGAAACTTTTAGCGTATTGATCGATCGAGCTCAAGGTGGTTCAAGTTTGAACAATGGTGAAATAGAATTGATGGTATGTATAATAGAGCATCGTTGTCAGCGGCTTAACAATAGTACTTGATAATATTAAGAAAGTATTCAATGCACAACGGTGCAACGTTCACCATGGAATATTCTTCGTTTTATAATTATTGTATATTCGTCTATAAAATAGTCTTTCGCAATCTCCTAATTTCTTAAGTTACTTTGTAAAGTCCGTATTGTTCCTTTTTTTTTTTTTTTTTTTTTTTTTTTTTTTTTTTTTTTTTTTTTTTTTAAGCTTTTATTATGCATATATTGTATTCGTAAGGATAAATATTTATGTTAATGTATTTAATGTGTTTAATACAGTAGAAAGTAAGTAATAATGAATAGAGAATTTTTATTTAATCGAGAATATAAAATCCATTGCAAGATTTTTAATTGATACGTATTTGGATATTCGTAAGATCGAGTAAGCAACACTAACTAGCCTTCGAAAATCATAAACAAATGTTATTTGTATTCTATATAACGAATATTTAATAAAAAAAATATTCCCGCAAATTTATTATTTTAATGATAATTATAATTTGCCCGATTTAGCTGCATAGACGCTTACTGAGTGACGATGCGTTTGGTGTTTCCGAGCCATTGAACGAATTTGCATTTGGCGAGGGTCTCGTGGTAAGAGGTCAACATTACGTCGTCAATGGCAATCTACAAAATGCAGATGAAACGCTATTACAAGAGAAGGAACTTGCATTCCAATCGGCTGTGAGTCCATGGGTATTCATTACACCGGTGTCACAATCCTTCGAGAAGTGGAATGAATGTTACAAGATGCGGGTTAGTATGCCAAGTTTATTCGTCCTTCATTTGCTTTGCAATTAAGTTTTAGAGTAAAGGACTAAACGCTCACGTAAATTGATACTTGCAAACATTTAACTTGTTCCTCCGGCTAATATTCTAACCTTTTAAAGCTATTAGTACTTTATTCGCACTTCAATACATTGGATGCATTTAATTTTTTTTTTTTTTTTTTTTTGTTTCTATTAGAGCGAAGGTTTAGTGAAATCATTGCCGAGAAATGTTCGAATTCTCACGCTTGAGCCTTGGAAGGATGGAGAAGTTTTACTTCGACTGGAGCATTTCTTTGAAAAGAACGAATCGAAACAATACTCTGTGTCCGTAGATATTGATATAAAGGTAAAATTTCCCGAATAACAACCGAGTTAAATCGTTATGTAGTTAAAAAATTAATAATCTTAGTTTTTCCTTATATAAAATGATAAAAATGCTAAGTAATTACTAAATTGGCAAAAAGAGTATACGCAATTAAATGACCAATTTATATAATTTTTCGAAAATTCATACTTTATTTGTATATACATATATATATATATATATATATATATATATCTATATTATAAATTAAAGCATGAATTTTCAATCTTTTATTAAGTACTCGTTTAAAAAAAATATATATATCAAAACAAATAAACAAATTATCTGAATCAGGAACTGTTCCGTGGATTCGTCGTGCACTCGGTGCGGGAGACGACACTCGGTGGAAATCAATGGATCGAGGACTTACAACGCCTCAAGTGGCAATTAGAATCGAACGAAGTGATAAAGGCCGAAGTTAGTAGTGAGAAGAGTGAATCAACGATTAATGATAAAATTATCAAGCACTTCAAGCCCATGGAGATTCGTACATTCGTCGTTAAACTCTCGCTCGAGACGACGACATAAAGATAATTTATCTATGATATGTAATTATTGACGGAACGTTTCATATGCCAAACATCAAAGGCTAATTGTAATGAAAATATTGTCGATGTATACTTTGTATTTTAATATAATATGGAAACATTTTTTTTCCACTAATTTACCTTCTATGATCTAAACTAGATCTTGCATTTTTAATTTATGTAGTATGGTTTATTGTAATAACAACATTATAATTACATGCTAATAATGCCAGTACATAAAGCCTTTATTGTCACAAATTCAATAAATCTGTGGTATTGTATATCTAAAAATACAAAATTGCCTTTTCTAATTGCTTCCTTAAATGTGTATAATTCTTCGTTTATAAAAATAAAAATCATTATTTTGAAAAATATATATGTAAGAAAATGCAAGAGCAGGAAGAGCGAGAAGCATAGAAAATCAAGTACTTATGAGACAACAATTTTTTGCTTTGGTATCGATACAATAAGAAATTAATGTTCTCATTCATAGTTAAATAGAAAATAGATCATTTTCTACATCACCGGAAGCAAACTAATCCAATTTCTATCCAAAAGCGTTGCTCAGGTTTACCAACATCGCGCATAGCAATGTCTAGTATTGGTAGTCTTGATGGTTTATCAGTCTTGTACGTGATGATAGTTTTTCCCCAATTATCTTCTCTTGACTGAAAATACAGACAAACCATATTATCATAAAACAATATGTATGTATATATATATATATTGTTTATGCAAATTAAAAATAGAATTTGAAAAAAAATAATTCTATACTACATACACTGTCTATAATATTTATTTAAACTATAATTACGATCGATAATATTACCTTGCATTCGTCTACAATTGCTTCATACCGAAGCCTCTGGCTTCCTCTTGGTAGCAATTCAACGTCATTCCATGTCAGGAACTTCAATCCCTTTCTATAAGTTTTTCGTTCGCTATCGTAATACGCAATACTATTTTTACAATGGTAAGTAACATTCTGTTCCGCTTCTTTTGATAATAATTGTAAGTATCCTATTTGGTTGCTATCTGCTTTGTAGCTAATCTGGATTAAAAAATCATAAATATATCATTAAAAAATAATTTTAAAAGTCATAATTATTTTAATTAATTACATTAATTAAAAATCTAACTGTATTTTTTAAGGTACAAAGAATCTTCGTAGTTTACGAATAAACTTTATAAAATATTTCTAAAATACATTATTCTTTCATTTAATTATTCCAGTAAAAACATTTATAGGAGTATGAAAAAAGGGAATAAAAAAAAAAATTTATTTCGTCTACTAGCCATTATTTGAAAAAATTTCTTCTTTTAATTTAAAAATCACTATCAATAGACTTAATGATGTATAATGTAAGTAAACAATATTAATATGAAACTAAAAAGAGAGAGAGTGAGAGAGAGAGAGAGAGAGAGGGTGTGTGTGTGTGTGTGTATGTGTGTGTGAGAGAGATGTTGATGTAAGTAATCAACATAAAGTAAAAATAATGGTTTTATAATATAAATAATTTGATTTCTTAAAAAAATATTTCATATAATAATAGATATATGAGTAAGAAAATAAATAAAATTTTTCAAATATTAAATAAAAATTAATAACTTAAAAATTCAAAATTTAACATAAATATTAAATATATTTTTAAGCCGAATATTTGTGATATATTAATTTAATTTTAATATATATATATATATAAAAAAAATATTTTAATTACGTTTTTTAATCAATTTTGTCAGCACATGCTATTATAATAATGCAAATTTTGATTTAACCATAATTCAATTAAATTTTTGTTGTAAATTCTCTCAATCTAATCGAGCCAATTGTTTTACTATTAGTTTAATAATATCTATGTAAGTACAAAATTATGTTCAATTTAATTAATTATATAATATATAATTATTCATTGACAATCAATTAATAATGTAATTCATGCGTTGAGAATTGTAGTTTATAATTTTAATTTAATTTCGGTTTGGAATCATTTAAATTATATTATTTGATATCAATAATATTTTAAATACATATAAATAATAAATACATTGGAGTTAGTGGAAAAGTAAGTTTATTAAAATTATATTAATTAATGATAATTAATCAAAGTTAATTGAAGCCAACTAGCTTACATATCGCTGGTGTATTTGTAAAAAGAATTATTGGAAAAACTTCTATATGCATAAAATCGGTAAGACTTGTTGTAAATAATCTATATTTATTGATTTTCTTAATAATATCTTACCTTTGGTGCATTTTCAATTTCGTTTAGCCAAAGTTCTTGTTCTTTGCCGAGATGATTGAGTTCTGGACTTCTGGCTGGACTGGCGAAAATACACGTAGAACGTTTTTCCGCATCACAATGAACTAAAATAGCGTCTTGAAAATCGCCGTCATTTGGATCAATCCAATAGTCTCCTAAAAAATTACTTATTAAAATACATTTCTTATGGATTGCGGTATATCGATTAACGGCCGATTACAAATATTTTCATAATTTTCTTCATTTTAATAGTTAAATTCAGGATTATATTCACCGCTTGGCTTTTCCGGATAAGTGGCAAATAGGTCACTACAAGTTCTAGCTGGTGAATTTTTCTCCCCTGTCGGTTTTATAAGCTTTTGCAGAGATATTTTCACTCGATCGTAGACTTTAGTTAGCATATCTTTGCGCTCTTCGTCATTGAGTGGTCCACTGAAAAGCCTTGGAGGCTGATCTATGGATGACGACGAATCAGGTCCTTTACTTTGTCCTTGGCCTATTATAAATTCAATCCATATATAATAATGAACGTTTATTATACTTATCCAAAATATAATTCAGTTATAATTCATTATAATTATGACTTGTATTTCCTTATTAATTTTTAATAAATAATGATATGAGCAATAAGTCTTGGTTAATGTAGACAAACATAAAAAAAAAAAAAAAAATAGCACCAACAACAACAAATAAAATAAAATAGAAAAACTCAATTTGATTCGATATAAATTTTTAATACACGTTTAAATAAAAAATTTACGCAAAAGTCCCGTCTAATTAGAGTATATTTTTATAGCGAATCGGTTTGGGAAAATTACCGAATAAAGCAGCGAGAGACGCAGCGTCGTACCCATAGTTGACTTCACCCGGCGTTCCAGGTGGTCCGGGTGGTCCCGGTAGTCCAGGTGGTCCGTGTCTGCCATCCTCGCCAGGAGGTCCACGTGGCCCGGGGTTAGCGGCTTGGCCTGGTAGGCCAGGATTACCATCGCGACCCGGTAGCCCCCGCACACCAATATCACCATTCTTTCCCGAGGGCCCAAGGGGCCCTTGAGCGCCCTTTTCACCGGGGATTCCCGGCTGACCCGGTCTACCTTGAAGGCCATTGAAACCTCGATGACCCTTAGGGCCTGAAACACCGTCAGGTCCTCGTTCGCCCTTAGGGCCATCCGGCCCTGGCAAACCTGGCTTTCCTCTCATTCCCTTAAAGCGCCAATACAATCGCCAATTATCACATAATGTAATATATTACATCTTACGGACAAATCTGGGATCAGATATATCGTAGCATAAGTAATGATTTTATTATATTAAAGTATTTGATTTATGCCTTGTGGATGCTTATAATTAATATCCAAGGAAATTTTGAAAAGTTTGCTTTAATATCACGACGAAGAGATTATCGAACTTATATTGAGAGTAATTATAAAAATATAAAATTATAAAAATTATAAAATATGTATATGTAATTATAAAAATTCTTGGCCTTGTATAAGAATAAAAGGGTATAATATCTTACAGGCTGTCCGTCTCCTCCTGGAGGACCTGGAATGCCTTGCTCGCCGTCCTCTCCTGATTCGCCCTAATAGTACATTGGCCGATATGAAATAAAATTTATCGTTATTTTAATATATTATTTGAAATGTCAATGTATGCGAGCATTTTAAAGCATAATTAAACGATGTAAATAAGATAGAAATTTTAAATGAATTATGAAGATAAAGCATAAATTCTAATTTAATCTCAAGTCTATAATATTCTATAAGTTTCAAACATTTTGAAAGCCAGTCAGATGTAAAATGAAAAATATTCTTACGGGAAATCCCTTTTCACCAGGAGGACCCATCGGACCGACAGGTCCATGTGGTCCTTGAATACCTTGCTCTCCAGGTTTGCCATTGGAGCCTGCTGGTCCTCGATCTCCATTATTTCCCGGTTTCCCAGGGTTTCCAGCTTTCCCGGGCGATCCCCGTAATCCCTAGGTAAGTAATTCGATCCCAAATTAATTCGTCCACTTTAGCTTTAAGTAACATATGCATTTCTAATACAATTTTCATTTGTCCGTATACGCTGTGCAATTTTTATTTTAATTAATTCGTGATAGGATCTGACATTATCGCAATTACATATCTATTATCGAGCACAAAGTGCAAATGACGTTGAATTCCATGGAGGGTTAATAGATTAACGAGAGGCAGGGGATTTGATAATTGGATTTGAATTAAGAATATTCGGTATTAACTGCAGTGAGAAAAGGGAAAGTAAGTAAAGGATGTAGGACCATAAGCTTACAGATTCCATTTGCATATTCTGAATCAGCTTGCTTATTACTTACGGGACAAATTTTCATCTTTAATTTTCGTTTAATATAGGATTAGTAATATTATTATATTAGTAGTATAATAGGATTAGACTCTATATAATAGAGGATAGGAAATCCTTTTTAACTAGAGTAGAGAAATTTTTCAACATTATCAAGACCTTTTAGTATGGAAATAAAATGTTACATTACAATATATATTATGAAATATTTATATATTTAGAACCTGTGGTCCTGGTTGACCCGGTCGTCCTGAATCACCAATCGCTCCTTTTGGCCCGACGGGACCAATTGGCCCTCGTTCACCAGGCTGACCTAATTGATATATTTACCATGTAATAGCGGCTTTTTATTAAAATTTTGTTAAAGTTAGTAATGTTTACTTTGAGAAATCTTCGCGATAAATGTACTTATTATTGGTTGATTAATGGTAACGTTTTTAAATGGTAAGTTACCGAATTTCTAAAAATCGATTGCATAAATCTATGAACATTTTTCTGAAATAATTTACACGATGTATTGTCATTAATCTAATATTAGTAGTCGAGTTTGGGTGTATGAAATATATCTGTGACATGTGATTAATAATTGTCGAGTGAAAAGTCAGATATTAAAATACATCATAATAGTATGTGATTGTTTGTTAAATATTTAAATATCTTTTAATCGCAGCGAATTGTTTGAAAAATGTAAATTGTTTGCCACGTAATTAAGTAAAATATATGTAATGTATGAGCCTCTGCTGCTGTTCATTATCCATTTATTATCCGTCTATTATCCATCATCATAGTAAATACGTAACCAATTAGTAAATACATACGCTCAATTCATAAATTCGTGGCATTGAAAAAACCGTCGACAGACTCTCTAAATAACATTCCATAAATGCTGGAAAAGCCGTTATTCTCAAGTGTAGGCGCAAAAGCAAAAAGTTCACACGCGACTCCCACGAAGCGTCGTCGGGTAGATAAATACCTTTTGGACCGACGGCACCATCGGCACCGTGGAGACCCGTTGGACCCGTATTGCCTCTCTCGCCAGTAGGTCCAGGTGGTCCAACAGGGCCAATCGGGCCCCTCTTACCCTTCTTACCCTCGTTACCAACTGGGCCGGGCATACCGCGTGATCCTGGGAAACCAGGTTCGCCCTTGACCCCGGTGTCGCCTCGGCCGCCCTTCTCCCCTGGTGCGCCCTATGTCAAATGCATGTCGCATTGCAATTTATTTGACTTTTGGCATTCTTTTGCCCTTACACCGCGCAGTACATATTTTCGCTGTTTTAATGTTTGTTACCTAACGATTTATGGGAAACTTTGAATAGGTTAAGGGGGCTGTCGAAATATTTGTATAATAACCCCGTAGCTATGATTCGCTCAACATTTATTTGCTCAAAATCGATGCTTTTACGCTCGCGGATAATCGAGATTCCTTCCCCCCCCCCTACCCTCCAATCACCCATCAACCAACGCTGCGCCTCCGTAATTGCCTTTGTACTATAATTGATATTTTTCATAAAATATTACCCCTTATGTTTTTTCTTTTTTGTTTCTCATTTTATTTTTGTTTTTACTAATCAAAGAATGTCGTTTGAAGAGAAATTACAATTAAATATCTAGCTATTATTTTATTACGTTAAATTATTTTTTATAATAAAGTGAATTTCATAAAATAAACAAAAACTGTATCAATCGTGGTACAACTAACTTATTTGAAACATCAAGACGGCCGTGACAGAAGCGGCTCGCGTTATTGCCGTAAAAATGTCGTGTAATTGAAGGGAGAAGGAGAAAAGCGCAATAAAGTCGAACGTCTCAAGTTGTAAAATGCATCATGACAATTTGAAAAAAGTAATTCACGTTTTAAATACACGATTCGTGCATCGGTTTACCTTCCAACAATTGTAAATAATAATTAAATCCGCTTGATAGGCTTGTACATGTAATGCTGGATAATTACTATTATAAGTTAAAGTAAAAAAAAAAAACATAAATAAATAAAATGGCCTCTTACCGGTAAACCCTCAGTTCCAGGTGGCCCAGCATTGCCAATTGGTCCCGGAAGACCTCTGATTCCTGGGAATCCTGATTGTCCAATCGAGCCAGTGTTCCCTGGTACACCCTTTTCTCCTCGTGGACCTTCCTTCCCTGTCACTCCTGGTGGTCCAGCTTCCCCGGGTATACCCGTTCGACCGATATCACCTATCAGTTTTATTATTAGTTGTGTCCTTTTCATTCAACGTACGCATCTACTCATTATCCACTGTTAATAATAAACAATAGAAATCTCGTGTACAAATAATTTTACATTGGAGACAATTATGAGAGGAGGGGATACGTTTAATTAAATTTTAAATAAATAAATAATGCTGTTAAACAAATTCTGAAAATCTTATTTCTACCATCTTGTTCATTGATAATAAGAAATTATTTTTAATTATCGCGAAATAAATAAATAATGCCTTTAGTTTGGCTAATTCATTATAAAAGTATCTAAAGCGCTTGGCATGAATAAAGCGAAAGGTTAAATGTTCAGATTCAATTTGTATGCATAAGTTGGCTTATTAAGTAAACATCATAAAATTCAAGATAAGTCGTAAAAGATATATTTTTCCTTTTAATGGGACAAACTGTGTTAATCATGAGGTCGTTGAATGGGAGACCTAAATTTTCGCAAATTCTGTATTCTAATGACCGGCGAGCTATTTAAAGCACTGGAAATTATTATGCAGAGCTCCACTCAATTAATCTCGCAAGATATCAGATAACAACAAACTCTTAATATATTTTCATTCAAACGAGTAATCGAATATTCTATAAGTAATACTGTGATACTTTGCTTAAAGTGTTTGTTACTTATACCTCGAGGGCCTTGTGATCCTTGATTTCCTTTTAGTCCTTGTATACCTTGATCACCTTTTGAACCTCGAGGACCCGGAGATCCAACCGGACCTGATTTTCCTAACAATCCCTAAATTGAAATTTACTAATAATAAGAAAGGCTAAATTTTCTCTCGTTACTCGATATGAGGCGCAATAATATAATTGTAATAATTTGTCTGTAATAATAATAAGTAATTTTACTAATCAATATGTAATTTACAATGGACATTCGTACGTATTTGTTTTCTTAAATGAATCTTCTTAAGTGTTCTTCTCTTTATATGAATAAATTGTAATACTAACGGGTGATCCGGGACTACCGGTCAATCCATCCGCACCTCTAACGCCAGGCGGGCCAGGTGGTCCATCCCTTCCTCTTTCACCCCTCGAGCCTGAAGGTCCCTACGAACATTATTATTAGATTATAAGTCATTGTACAAAGTTCGATGAATAGTGATAATAAATTTATGGGTAAATTAATTTTTCACATTTTATAATATATTAATGTAAAATCTTCTTGAAAGCGCAACTATTCGATAATTCTACTCATCCCGTCGAAGTACTTCAGTATTGTCAGAAAAAAAAAAAAAAGAAAAAAAAAAACTTCAATTTGCTTTACGTAAATTACTTACAGCAGGCCCTGTAAGCCCTGTAGCACCAGGCACTCCAATCGCTCCTTTTTCACCAGGAGCACCGACCTCACCCTTTAAGCCGTCCGCTCCCGGTATACCTCTGTGACCCTTTATACCTGGCAAACCTGATAAACCAGGAGGGCCACGCGTACCCGGTAAGCCCTGAGAGCCCATATGACCAATTTCGCCATCTTCTCCAGGCTCACCCTGCATAAAATCATCTTACTTAAAGTAATTCTATCGGATCATGTATATATGCTTATCGGGAATTCACAGTGCCAGTCAATATTTCTTAAATATTGATTGCTGATGTCTTTAGATGTATTAATATTTATTTTATTTATCCATCAATAGTGAACAAAGATACTTTTACTTTTGACACCAAATAATATTTATCGGATTGAAGGTTTTTGTAAGGTGGGGATAAATTTTTAAGATGGCGTAACCCATAATAATCAACGCAAAATCAATGTTATTGAATATTTTAAATTTAAAATAGATTACGGCAATTATTTATAATATTTATTTAGCCAATAATGGAGTGTGTTGCTGACTTCGTAATATTACAAAATCGTAAAAGCTATTTGAAACTCCGATATTGTTCATCGGAATGACATTTACATCGTTCCCAGGTAGACCCGGTAAACCACGAGGTCCAGGTGGTCCTGTCGCTCCCGGAGATCCTGGCTCGCCAATCTCACCCCTCGATCCCGTAAAACCCATTGGACCAGGAGAACCCGCAGGGCCTTTAAAACAAATTGAGTTTCTACATTGCAAAATCGAATATTCAAATACGAATAAGGATATGCATTTCCTTTACCGGGTGGTCCTTGTGGGCCAATTTGCACATAAGGCTCTTGATATATTACAGGAGTTGGACCTTTTTCTGCACTCGCTTGTCCTACTTCTAATAATTGACTATAGTAGCCGGAGATCTGGAAAATAATAAATTTAAGCAAACGCGACATTCGAATCACCATTATATTCGTATAGAAGTACGCTCGAACAATTATTTCGACAAACTGAACTCACGTCTGGAACGATATTTGAAGTATCCTGTTAACAAAAATAATTGGTCAGAAGAATAAAATTGACACGAGTGTATACGCGTTTGTATGAGGCGTAATGTAAATAAGACATTATTAAAGTATTGAACAATCTGAGTTATTTACGAGTATTATTACTTAGCTTAATAATCGATTACTCGCAAATTCATGCGCAGTAAGCAAATAATTTATCATAGTCTTTGCTTCTCTTTTTGCCATTTTGTTGACTAAATTTGAATTCTCAAAGTGACATTAAATCGTAATGATCAACGCCTCATACATAAAAATATTAATCTCACTTCCACGTTAATCACTCGCACGTTCATTGATTTTCTCCGCTCGGCTTCATCTTCATTCGCGTCCACTGGCACCTGAAACACAAGATTAGTATATTTTAATGTGAATTCGGAGGACGAGATACTTTCTGAAAATATTAATTTAATTCAAGACTATATTGGGCTTACTGAATTTCTTGTGTTGTTATAGCCATTATAGGTTACGGACTCTGGCGCAACTGCAATACGAAATTAACTACAATATTCCATTGACCGTAAATATAGGAGATAAATAAAAAATAAGAGAAACTTGAGCGATAAAAAATTGATAATCGTACCCGTGCTGCAGCCGGAACTGTTAGAACAGAAAATTTGCCCAAGATAACATCTGCATTGGCTGCAGTTATTAAGTTTCCAATAGTCCCCAGATTGATAATTCGTTCCGTTAAACTTACACATTGTATTCTGCTTTTCTAGATAATAAACGTAAGAGCGAATATTATTTTTTAATCGTTATCTATTTTCTGGAGTAATTTTGCTCGATCTACATATTTTATTTATTAAAGCACGGTTTATGTATATATATATATATATATATATATATATATATATATATATAAGCCAATAATAATAATAATTGTTATTAATTGCTAAATAATATTTTTATTTATAATACCCCGAATATTGTTTAGTTGAAAATTAATTATATTTGGTCTGATGGTTGTGACTGGTCTCGTTGTTGACGAGGAATAATTTATTGTTGTATGTGAGCCGCTATTCACACGTCCTACGAAAATATTGTTAGATACAATAATGCATACTTAGAACACATTTAGCTTAAAAAAAAAAATAAATAAATAAAAATAATAATAATAATAATAATAAAATAGAATGACTTACTGCTCTCGCTGCTTCGATATGACTTTGCGGTCGAAGTAGATGGTGCCGGTGGCCTATGTCCTTCTAAAAAATATTCTAAACCATAAATATTATTACTATAATAATTGTCTTTATCGTCGAATACAATATTTGTATGGAAATAAGTATTATTCATACTTAATTAGAATTTAAATTCAGATGAAATTTGAGGAATTATTTATTATTAATTTTAATTCAGTTGGAAATTTTTTATTTTACCAATAACGAAATGTTTCATATGCATTGAATATATATATATATATATATATATATATATATATATATATATATATATATATATATATACATGCATGTCATTAATTAAAATAATAACAATAAGAATAGAAATAACATTGTTCGTTTGAAATTCAGAAATGTAGAAAAACCATCTGAACAGAACGACATAACTCAAATCGTAAAAACGTCGTCGCAATTAAAGCGTCATTAATCAATCCGCTAGTATGTGGGTCAATCCGCGATAAAGAGAATAAACTTCCGGCGCTAAGCAGTTAAGCGACGATTAATATAAAATTGAAGAAATGTATGATAAAAAATTTATCCTCCAGTGACTTATTTAAGCTAGCAATTTCAATTGGCATATTATAGTCGAATATAAGCTTGACCGAATTCCAATCTAGAATGAGATTTGTATTGCACAATAACTTGATATAAAATCTGATTGACAGCATTAAATTGACTTGCCGATGCATCTAAAACATTGGTAGATGACACAAGCACGCTATTGGCTTTATAATATACAAGAGTAAATTGTCAAGATTTGTAGCGTACGTGGAGAAACTGAATTAACACTTTCGCGATTCAATATGACCGAACAAATTAATTAGCAAGTATTTTCGAGTACATGTCGCTTCGATATATGGGATCGTCCTAACCGTCGTCATTCCTATGATTTTCTCTTGCTAATAAAAATCTTATCGTTATAATTACCACTAATCCTGTGATACTACTCGCTCGTGACAGAAAAAAAAAAGAAAAAAGAAAAAATTGTTATAACCAGTAAGTTTTGCAATTGATAATTCATAGTTCCATCGGAGATTTATGGATTTTTCAACAAAAGAATATTTATAAGGACAACGCTATATAAGATAATTTCAATTTCCATAATAAATACTTTGAATGGATCGGAAAATATATAATTAATTGATAATCCACGTATAATAATATATGATATAAACATTATCTAGACGCATTTTAATCGAATAATAATTGTCGCGTTATGTGACTTTTAACATTTATGTTATCATGTGCTGTAAACATATAAAAATTAAAAACTATCGGCTTCCTTGGAGGCAAACTACCTTTAAATGAGAATGATCGTTATACTCTAATCGATATGTTATTTAGTTGCTCGATTCAATAAGATCTATGGGAAAAAAATCTATGAATAAAAAAGAAGACAAGAATATAAGGAAAAAATATTGAAAATTATTTAGTATAATTCAATAATTTATTTAATATAATTAAAAATTATTTAATATAATTGAAGTAAATATAATTGAATAACGAAATACATAAGTGATAAATGAGATAAAATCTACTTTAACATCTTTATTAAACATTTATGAAAGCCGTTTATTAAGAAAGTACAAATTACATTGTAAGAAATTAAAAATTTTTTTTTTTTTATATATACATGTCGTCAAATGCACAATTCAAACAATAGATTCATCGTTTATTATTTACGTAATGCAGTATTTACTTTGCAAAAAATAACTTGCAGATAAAATGTTCAATAAAATTAATGATATTATAGTTTTGTTATTATAGTTTTCATTCCAAGTAAATTATTTTTAAAACTTTCGACAATATATTTTAACACATTGCTTCTGTCACCCCATTTTTCATATTCATGTTGTTACTTTACATTATAAAGCACTTATCTTAAATATTTATCGTTAACAAATGTAATTAATCTTCCTTTAATTCAATCAATATCATTTTCTATATTTAGTATAGATTTTTATCAAAGTTTATATTGTACTCTTCGTTGGATTTTAATAACTTCAAACTTTACTTCGATTCGAATGAAAGTTATTTCGAGTTTATATTTTTGACATTATGTATAAAATATAATTTTACGATTTCTAATGAGAATGTTGTTACATTACATTTATTTTTATGCCAAACGTTATCATTTATGTCTTGGTTTTTTTTTTTTTTTTTTTTTTTTTTTTTTAAAAAATGT